GTTCAAATTACTTTAGGGTGAAAGTAACCCAGGTTGTTTCTCCAGTCCCTGTGGAGTGAAGTAGCCATGGCTGTGCTGCCTGATGCCAAGTACTGAGAAATTTTACTGGAAAAGAAGTACCTGCAGTTGGCACAGGGCAGGATCATTAAGCTCAAGCAACTGTCCTATGGTTGGTCACACCAGCCATGTTTGAATCTATCTTTGCACAATAATTTTCCCAAGATTGGTTAAAAGCAAAAACTCATAATAGGAGGGGTCTTGCTACACTGTCTGGATTATGCAATAGAGCGATGTTTCCCAACAAGTTTATAGAGATGAGATGGAAGAAAAAGCAGTGTTAAATGTTTGGTTAAAAGCAAAAACTCATAATAGGAGGGATCTTGCTGCACTGTCTGGATTATGCAATAGAGCAATGTTTCCCAACAAGTTTATAGAGATGAGGAGATGGAAGAAAAAGCAGTGTTAAATGTGGCAAATACACTTCTTTTAAGTTGAGAGTGAGAAGCAGCTGCAATTACTGACTGCAAACATCTACCCTCTTGAATGAACTTAACTGCTTACATTTGCTGGCAGTAGCACAGTTTTCCTTGTGACGGGGAACTCCTGTAGCCAGTAATTACAGCAACTTTGCTGCTCCCCCAAAAAGCTGGAAACCTGAGACAGTGTTAAGGCAATTAAGCATTTACACAAATGAGCCAAAGGGAAGATCTGTTTTCAAAAACTCAGAGAAACAGTGCATGTCTGCTAACTTCCAGAAACTGGGAAATGGCCAGCAACAGGACAGCCCAGCTTCTAAACCTGCAGATCAGTTCAAGGGACTCAAGTATGAAGCAGAAATAAGATTAGCAACCAGTCTAAGCCTCTGGAACCATTTGAAACACCACACACAATTTATTTCTCAGCCCGTGGAGAAACTGTATGATGGAAAAGACTCAGTGAGTCAGAAGCTAAGCTGAGGTCAGACAAGCTACCCTAACACACTTGACCATAAATCTGGCCCTTGGGATCTGAGGACTATGGTTAATCAGTGGCAGAACCAAATAAGACACCTGCAGTAAAACAAAAATAAAAGTATTAAAAATTATCCTTTGAACTGAAATTATAGTTGGGTGAACTATTTTTTAACTAATCCTAACTTGACAATGCCAGACTACTGTTTTGCCTTCCACAAAATACAGTTCCACAAAATGTTTCCATTTTTTGTGCAACTTGCACTGGATTTTTATTGCATAGTCATGTAAGGAACTATTATCACAGTGGGCACGCAGAGAGGATGCAGTTTTAACTTCGTAATTCACCACTGTTTGTTTGCTTTTCATTCAGTATGAAACTGTTAACCTCTAAAAAAACATAACCAAGAATATGGCTAAATATTTATTATCATAATCTCATATTTCACATATTTGTGAGTTCAGAACTGAAACCCTATCTAAAGCAATGCCTCAGCCAAAGTGGATGTGGCAGACGTTCCGTTTCTTTCTTACTTGGTGTCTTTGTCCCCATGGACACGTACGGATGACACGGATCTGAAACTAGATGTGCAAAACCAGAAGTATAGAGATTTTATACCTTTTCATTTTACCATTAATTCTTTGAAATTATTCTACCAATACGTGAAGCCTTGTGTTTTAGCAATCTGAAGGGAAAGAAGCGTGTTGGGTGTACACGTGCCACGCGTTTAAATGAGAAGCCGGTGACTACAAAATCTGCTTCCATCTGAGTCACTAAAGGCTTCCCACCCGTGTCAGTGGAGCCAGAATTTTACCTTATAATCTGGGGCTCTCTCCAACAGGATCTATTTCAGAATCTGTGCCCACCCTTCTGCTTTGTTAGCACTGCCACCCAAATTGCCACGTTCCCGGCTGGAATTCACGCCTAGCCCTGCTCTCCGCTGTTTTTCAGCTCCGCTGCGAAGAGCTCGAGAGAAAACTGCTGCAACTGGTTGGCATTAGAAGGAAATAAAAATCTTTTAAGTGGCTATTGTGCATGTCATTTGAATGCACTGGATGACATTTCAACACCAGGCGATGCCTCCTCTCCACCACAGCCATCAAGAGTGGTTGGGGTTTTTGCTTCGGTTTGGTTTTTCCTTCCCATATGGGCACTGAGGTTTCCAAGAGCACTGATCCCTCGGCACATTTTCCTATACTTTGTAGAAGCCTCTTCCTTTGAACATCTTTCTGCAAACAGAAAGGCTTCAATGTGCAACAGTTTTTCAGCAGCCTGCAGGACCGGGCCCTTGATGTGATTATTTGATTATAGATGAAGTAACTCCGACGATCAATGAATGATGTCACAGACACCACTTTGAAGTTAATAGCGAAATTTGCATTGGCTTAAATCGGAGCGGGATCAAGGCAAGCAGCATCAGACTGACACCCCCTAATTAACTTCCATATCTCGTTAAATGCTCATGCCTGGCTCCATGCTTTTTCATGAGACAAGGGAAAAGAGCAAGCTCTGGAAACGGGCGTTTCCACCAGCAGAAGGCTGTCACACTTAACAAATTGTCCTAGGATATTAGTTTCCGTGGGCATCCTGCCCTTGATCAGCTCCCACACTTCCCACAGACAGCAGCACAAGTTGTGCAGGAAGATGAAATAACCGACCCATCACTTCCAAATGGAAACACAATACTCCATCTGCAGAGGAGAGGCCTGACTGAGGGAAGTGCTGCAGCACCTTCAGCAAAGTGATTCCTGCAGGCTTGGGCAGAACACGCACAGCTCGTGTTTCTTTGCTTCTTTGAATTTAAGCTGTAGCTTGTGCTGGCACAAGGAAATCTGGGATATACACAGGCTGCACTGGAAGCAGAGTCTTTACCTCTCCAGCTAGCAGGAGGAGAGAGACAGTAATAACACTTCAGCTGGTTTCTCAGCTCGCAGTGAGTATCCAGCACTCACTGAGGAAAACTTCCTTTCAGAATCTCTTCATTCCACGGCTGCTCAGCACGGAAGCACAACGTGTGTGTGAACAACGTCCGTCTGCGCCCTTCCGTGAGCTCCTTTTATTTCCCCGTTCACTAAACGCTGCCGTAAGAACTCCTGAAGCAACGCGGCTCTCCCAACAAACACGGCTACAGAGCCGGGCCGGGGAGCGCACGCAGGCCCAGACCGCAGCTGTTCCGTGCTTAGCGGAGGGACAGCGGCCAGGGAAACGGGCCAGTAATTCCCTGCCTCCTTCAAGCGTTCCCAGAGATGCGCTGGGAGCGCAGGGACCCGCACCCCGGCCGGGGCGGGGGGTCTGTGCGGGGCCGAGAGGGGACGGAGCGGTTGTGGCCTCTGCCCTGGGGAAAGCCAGAGGCTTTGCAGCCT